GCGCCACGCACGTACGCGCAAGCACCGCGCGCCCAGCAGCACCGAGAACGAGCACGCCGCAAAACGCAGCGGTCGGAGACGGAGTCACTGCTCGGACGCACTCGTACGGACTCGGGCCCGACTCGACGCGCCACCAGTCAGCGGTGGTCAAGGTCGGACGATCCGCACGCGCGCTCACGCGCCCCGACGGCCGGAATGTGACACGTGTGCCCTTGGCCGCCCGGTTCCGCACGCACTCGCACGACCCGAAACACTGCGCGACGCACGTACACCACGCCGAACGCACACACTAACTATGATTTTCCCGCGCGCTTACGCGTGCTTTAACAAAAGCGCTCGTCACGCCTCCGCAACTCAACGCACGAACTCGCGGTTTGGACGAAACGGTTTATCCTGAAAAGGACTAACCGGCCGTCTTTGTCGCGTCGTGAAACGACGCCCACGAGCCGCGGTATTCGCCGCCAAAGGTGAAAGTCGCAACTTTTGTTCAGCTTGTCGCACGATCACGCGACCCACACAAAAATTTGCGTTATAAAAGCACGAATTCGCACGTGTTGGGTCCGACGCAAAATTCGCAACAGAGCCGGAGAAAATCGCAAAAGAGTTTTCGCCTACCGGGCGCAAACACTAGTTTACACCGGCGATAAGCTTAAAACGCTTTTGCCGCTTACTACCCTAACCTACGAACGCGCGCGATACACCAAAAGAAGCGTCTACTCGAGTAGACTGTGCACTTTTACCCTCGAAACTTGCAGTTGAAGCAGGAGCTCAACTTCACAGTTCCGCAGCCAAACACATCCTCAGTAGATAGTAGATAGGGACATGAGTATCCTTGGTTTGATGCCTTGCGGCTACAACTATGGACCGTTTTAGCGCTGTGCGCTAGTTTCGAGCCATAGAGGTTCACCTGTGCGAGGGCGCCGAGGCGCCCACGCCGCAGGCGTGTCGTCTATGGACCACCAGCACCGGGACCGGGGTCCCGTACCAGACAGCAAGGGCCTAGAGCCACCCTGTACCACCTCTGGTGAGGTCGTGACCTATCCAATCACTTCCCATTTTTGGTTATGGGCAATAACGATTTTATCCAGCGGTAGATCGGGTGTGTGCCCAGGAGAAACTGCAGCGCCGAAAGAATTCGCACCCCTTCGGCGATACAGCCATTCACTAGAGACCTTCCCCTGCCCGCGTTGGCGTACCATATTGTATCTCCCGCTACAGCCACCACGAAACCAAACCGGCAATGGGCGCACGGCGGCAAGCCGGCGTGCGCTCAGAGTGGGAGGGCACTGACCCGGGCGTAACTCGGGGCAGTGGGGCTCCCCCCTTCCCGTGGTACCGATCTCACCCCCGCAAGGTAGGACATCATCGGTGGGATGTTCGACTAGGCTAACCCAATCTCCCAGGATTTGCTGGCTCAGCGGGCTCTTGGTGGGCCCTAACCGCGGGCGCTCGCCCACGGTGCGTAGGTCGCAACCCTGGTAGTTTTGGATACCGGCCCTACGCCTCCCAGAGGCATCCAGTGGGGATCGACCCGCTCTTCTCGGGGTCGCGGTCAGAACCCCCACGTCCTAATCCCCTAGGGTTTCGGACGCCCGCGTCCCTGACACCAGCCCTCCAGGCCGCTCTTTAGTCGCCTCTTACGACAAGTGAGCACCCTGATGCCGTATTCTGGTCCCCGGCAACAGGGAGTTCGCGGCATGCGACCTTGATCACATGCCACCCGCGTCCCCGACGCCAGCCACATCTGACCTGAAGTAGGTGTGGTCTACTCACCTAAGTTTTCGACCACCGCGGCGCCTTCGGTTGTCCGACTCTGTTGTGCGCGTCAGCGCCGCCCGCGTCCCCGACGCACGAGTGTCCCCTCAGGACGGCCCCGCATGTGAACCGCTTCTGCCATCTCGCTCCTTGACACTCGTTCAGAACACATGCGGGGTTTGGCACTCTGGCACACAGAGTGACGTTTCCGTCCTGTCATCAGCCCTAGGCTGGGCGCTCCATGTAGGCTGCGTCCCTGGCAAACCTTGTCAGCGCTCTGTAGGTATGGCAACTGGATACCAGGACCCTAAGATCGCACGGCCATAGGTGACCCGCTCTGTGTACGGCAAGTTCAAGTTTAGCTCTATGCACTTCGTGCAAACTGCAATCGAATAGAACGTGGGCCGCATCCTCTTCGCCGACGCCACAAGCACAGAGAGGTGATGGCTATAGATGGAAACCTGCCAGCTTAGCCCGGAAGTTGCCATGTCCAGTGAGGAACTGCGTTACCTCATGTCCTAAGGCTAGAGGTAGTTTTAATCGTGTCCTCACGTCTGGGAATATAGAGTAGGTCCATCTGCCCTTGTTAGAATGGGACCATCTGGATTGCCAAATATCCAGAAGTTCCTCCTTTCTAGTCGCCAGGGTGTCTTCGCGAAGAAGAGGTGGTAGCAACTTGACCTCCGAGTTGACTACTAGCCATGACAGCTCAATGTCCAAGGGTGGAGTTCCCGCTACGACCTGTAGGGCATCAGTCGAAGTGGTCCTGTAAGCACCTGTAATACCCAGTAGGGCCCTTCTCTGCAAGGATCCCAATTTTTTAATGACCGCCATGGTTCCTGCACGGTGTACCCAGAATCGCGCTCCGTAAGCTACCTTTGGCAGGAATACTCCCCTATATAGAATCATTAGATTTTCCCTCTTGATCCCCCAACCTGCTCCCATTGTACCACGTAACCTGGAAAACAGGGTCTCGGCTGTTTCCGTGAGGGAATCAAAGTGTCTTAGGAAGGTTCTCTTCTGGTCTAACCATACACCGAGATATTTTGCGCAGTCAGACAAAGCGATCCTATCTTCCCCAAAGGCCAGAGTAAAACCAGGAACCAGTGGGCCCTTGATGATAACGGCGGTTGACTTTGCATCTGAGAACTTCAGGCCCCTCTCATCAGCCCATCGAATAATGGGTGCTAGCGTCTCTTCTGTGCGTTTTATCAGGGAACGTCTGTTCTGGGCCGCAACGCAGATGGCGATGTCATCTGCATACGCCTGCGTCATGACATAATCTGGATATGCAATTCTCAGAAGGGCTTCCATGGTCACATTCCAGAGGATCGGCCCCAGAATTGACCCCTATGGACAGCCCTTATTTACGCAGACTGTTTTTGACACTCCTCCTATGCACATGGACGCTGTCCTTTCATTAAGGTAGTCTGCAATCAGTGCTCTCATTTGGCCGTTTACCCCTAGGCTAGCTAAGTCTCTTTCTAGAGCTGGCCATTGCAGATTGTCAAAGGCCCCCGAAATGTCTAGAAACACCGAAATCACGTGCTTATCATCTCGACGATCGCCCCAGCTCAAGAGATTTTGGATTGCATCTGCCGTGGATTTCCCCTGCGTGAAGCCATATTGACGACCCGTCAGGCTTGGGCCAATCTGCTCTTGTAACCTGTGGTTGATTGCCTTCTCGATTACTTTGCCTAAGACCGGGAGTAGGCTCACCGGTCTGTAGGACTTTGGAATTCTGGCGTCTCGATCCTGGCCTTTCAGGATTGGTACAACTAATGCATGTTTCCATATCGCAGGGAATCTGGATGTGCTGAGGGACCTGTTTACAATACACAAGAGCTTCGGAGCTAACGACTGCCACAACGCTCTCAACATCCTGCCCGTTATTCCATCTAATCCGGGGGCCCTGTTCGGCGAGATACTCCAGGTGAGTTTCCTCAGCATAACTTCGTCAAAAGGCTGTACTTCACCATCTCGTTGAATCGGGCGGTATTCCTCTCTTCGTAACGGGTCATTAGGTATAAGCGTGTTCAGCAGCAGGGTTACCGACTCATCAATGCTCTGACACAAAGAACCGTCAGGTTTCCTCATGAGGCCGGGTGCAGAGCGGACCTGATTTGCTCCCCTCATCCACTTGTAAAGCTTCCCCCACGGAAGTTTGCCTTCTGAGGTGCAGAACTTCCGCCACGACTCTATCTTGCTCCTGCGCAGGAGACGAGTGTATGAATTCCTTAACTCGTTGAAGCGTTGTCTGTCGCCAGTCAGGTTCCATTGTCTAGCCGCTACTCGGACTGCCTTTCTTGCCTCCGTGAGCTCCAGCGACCACCAGGGGGGGAAAACTTTCTTGTTCCTTCGGCGTCTGGTTGCGTGCATCTCAGCAGCGGCCGTGATGTCGTCACGTAAAGCCTGAGACAGTGTATCCAGATCCTCATTATCCTCCTGTCTCTGAAGTAATCTTGCATTGAACTCATGCGCAAAGTTTACGCTTTTATCCCTATGTAAAACAAAGCGGCGAGGACGATGCACGAACTCTCTGAGTTGCAGTTCCATAGTGAACGAAATCAGCTGGTGGTCGCTAGATGTTGCCCCGGGGATTACCTTCCACTCGTGGGTTTTGCCAAAGATGCACTCGCTACACATGGTGACGTCAATGTTCGTCCGGCCCCTGGGTCCATTGAAGGTTGTGTGTGCACTCCGCTTGTTCATAACTCGAAGACGTTTTTCGTCTACCCATGCCGACAGAATCTGACCACGCCTGTCGTTTATCCTACTATGCCATCTGGTAGAGAATGCATTTGCATCAAGAGCAATGAGAGTGGCCTGCGAGGCTTGACTCTGTACCCTGTCAAGTGTCTCTACGTGGACTACAGTGGGTACCCTATATTTAAAATACCCGCTGGTAAAGGTGACTATTCCATCAACACCACAGTCTAAATCCACCGAAACAAAGTTTTCGACCTCACCCGCATTTCTAGCAACCACCACAAGATCAGGGTTGAATACCAGGATGGCAGCTCCATGGTCGATATGTGCAGGCCCTCCTCTTCGCCGTGTCCCCTTAGATAGGTAACATCTGATTGGATGGGCCTCGAAACCGGTGAGCTTGCCTCTGTTGGTGTAGGGCTCTTGAACCATGGCCATGTCTACCCCGGTGTTTTGGCAGTATGCGAGCAGCTGATCGCTTACAGCAGCAGCACGGCCCATATTTAACTGCACGATCCTGAGGTGGGCAGTGACACTCATTGCGCAACTCCATAATCAGTCCTCCTGGCCTGATTCAGCAGGTACGCCGTCCTCGAGGAGCACGTCTTGTCCCTGGCGCTGTGTTTCCCCCGGCAGTTGGTGCATGTCGGGTCAGCTTCCGCGGCAGGACAGTCAGCCGCTTTATGGCCCTTACGTCCACAATGCGCACACACACATTCCTTTTCCTGACACTTGGATGCAGGGTGCCCATATCTTAGGCAGAGGTGGCATTGTGTCACCTCCTCATATGCGCTGGCTCGGCACCTCATGAGACCTATAAATAATGTCGCGTTCTCAAATTTACCATAGTGTTTCGGGTTAACCTCAACTATCCAGTTGGTGGTGTCCCTATCCCTGGGCCCACTCTTGAATACAGGTTTTATCACCACGCTGTCCACTGTCTCGTCGATTCCCAACTCCGGGTTTTGCGCCAAGATTTCGTGCTGTGTCTGGCTGTCAAATCTCGTATCAGAGCTGACACCGCGAATGGTCACCCTCGGCCACCTTAAGCTGTCCTCTTTTAGCAAGGTTGACACCTTTGAGAGGTGCTTCAGCACGTCCATAGTTTCCTTATCTGATGGCTTCAAAATGGTCTTGCCCGTTCTGGTAATGATGGTGTGGCACTTAGGTTTGGAATTTTTTGCAACCACCTGATTCCAGATGAGATCTCGTACTTCTGTGTTAGTTTTCCCCGGTGCCTCATTCAGGGTAAATGACGGAAGATGCTCGGCCTGACGTGTTTCCTTAAGCTTTTTGTTCCTCGTCGTGGCACTGGATCTCGAGCGGTCGGCAATTCTGTCGGTGGATTTTTTCAGATTCCTCCTGGTCACCACGGCGAATGTGGGAGCCCCATCAGTGCTCGTCTTTTCTACAGGCACATCCTGTGTAAATTGTGCCGCTTCGAGGGTCCTCGTGGCCTCTTTCTCGGCATACCTGGTAATCACAGCCTCCAGGGTTTGTTCGTGAGCCGCCTCCCTGAGACGTAGCTCTGTTCCGAACTGCGCCACAGCTGCCCCAACACATATCTCCGAGGATCTCCTCGCCTCCTCCAGTTGGCTAGTCAATTGCAGGTTCGAAACCACCATGTCGTGAACCGCCGCATCCAGAGATTTCAACTTCTCAAACATGATGCGCTGGGTCTCAACCGGCATAGAAGTCTTCTTGGTGGCTGCCATCTCCAGGGTGTAGCGGATCCACTTGATGGTTTCCCTGGCCACAGGGGCTGGGTCCGGCGATGCCTTGAGTTTCTTGGGCCCAGGAGAATCCCCTGGGGACAGTGGTGACCTCATGTGCTGTGATGGTGGGTTTTCCGACGTTTGCATCACGTCGTACTCCATTTCAGCTGTGGACATCACACCTGGGGGGAGTCAACCGTTCTCTTTGGGGTGGGTAGGTGCTATTGGGCCCAGGGAAAAATTTCACTGTCCCTATCCGCCCTTTTGGGGGGGTTTGGAGCTTATGTTCCTCTTTGCAGGTTCGGGAGTCGTGTGCGCCCGCGCAGTTCTTACACGAAGGCGTCTCTCGCTCGCACCTCGCTGCCGTGTGCCCGTACTGCTGGCAGTTGAAGCACTGCGGCAGCGAGCTGTGCGCCTTGCACCTGCAGCGCATCATGCCTATATAAAGCGCTTTATTTTCAATTTTGCTGAGGACGCACGGGGTCACCTCTATCACCCAGTGGACCGTGTCGCCATTCCTTGGCCCCAGCTTGTGCAACGGCGTTATTTTCTCTCGGTCTGTGTCCAAGAGACCGAGCTCTTGATTTTGTTCGAGGAGGCATTCAATGAGTTCCTCTTTTGGAATGCCCTTATCAATGTCATAAACGATCACCCTTGGTTTTCTAGGGCCTATTTCAATCGCCTCTTTGATCCCCCGCATCACCTCCAACGTATTGGTGTCATCGGGTATTATAATTAGGGTATTGCCACTTACTATTGTCTTTGCCTTGGGGTTGATTAACTTTTTCTTTACGGTTTTCCACACGCCAGCCTTCGCGCTTTCCACCGTCACATCTGGGGGGAATTCCACCATGAAACGGGAGGTGGCTTTTATTTGTCTGCTCTTATTTATCTGTTCCTTTGCAACTGTCTTTTTAGACCTTATCGGAGCTGGGGCTGGTGTAACTGATACCGCTGCCGGTGTCGGTGCACCTGCCGCTGCCTTAGCGGCGTAAGTATTTTTCGGTCCTTGAACAGGCACTGCCCTAACTTTTTTCAGTGCAGCAAGTTCGGCCGCAAGGCTGCTTGTCTCAGCATTCTTCGTGTCAAGCTTATTCATGAAGAACGCTAGGCTTGCTGACTGGGCGTCTTCCTGGCCCTTTATCTCACCAGCGAGCTTGCTGTTCTCGTGTGTAATGCACCTTGTTAGTGTCCTAAGAAGGGATAGCTTGCCAAGCATCTTCTCAGCAACCGTAATAGCCATCTTCTTTTTCTCCTTTTCTTGGACCACGGTCTGCTCAAGCCAGCCGATAAGCTCATAAAACTCGCCAGCAGGCTTGTTGGCCTTCCTAAGCAGTTTGGAGGTCTGTCCGCCTGGCGAGCCCGGCGAGGGTGGGCCACGCTTTTGGCCGCTAATGCCCATATCACCACTTGTGCCAGCTACTTGTGGCATTTCGGTGTCGTTATCGCCACCTCCCCTCAATCTAAGGGGGACTGAGTAGCAGTGTCCGTTATCATAGTATTCCAAGTTTTCCATTTCCAAGTTCGATTGCGCATGGTAAGAGCTATTGATGACGACCTGTGTGGCGAGCTCACCCACACCTGCCGGATCTAAGGTTTCCTGGGCCTTTGTATCAGTAACATCTGTTTTCGATTTTGTGTATTTCATATGTTAGTGTTTTGAGGGGGCTGCCCTCAGGTAGCCCTACACCCTCTGGCCGCCGGCGGGCTAGATCGGCGGTTGCATTGTCCGTGCCAGGGGTTAGAAGTCCGGAGTCGGCCTACTCCGGACAGTTTTGAACGCCTCTTAGCGCCGGGCATAATGCCCGGTCGGGCGGGGTCACCACCGCAAGGTGGGCGATCTTCGACCCCGAGTAGATAGGGACATAGAGTTCCAAAAGTGGACTAGGTCCTACACTTCGTAGAAAGGTATGTGAGTTACAAACTCGTCACCCTTCAAACGAAGGCACCTTCCTTTCCTTGCGGTCCGGTCGGCATCGCCATGTGAGATCGGACTTGACTGTCCGAACGCCCTTTCTACACGGAG